TTATATCACTGACAGTAAGGAGAATTACAAATTGGATCTCGGAGTTAAAGGGTTAAGGCAGTAATTGTTGCTATTGAACAGTGTAATGAACTGAAGAAAGCTTTAGGACAATCTGAAAGACATAGACGACATAAGGCTGTTTCACTTGATCATACTGAAAAGGGGTTGTTGGAAAATAATTGAACTCAAGAGGAATCCTATAATGGTAAAACCTTCAGATATTTCACTTCATAGATACTGCATGTGTTTGTTATTTTTAGAACACAGCAAGTTGAACTGGGAACTGAGGAAATCTAATAAGCAAATATGTCATTCAACAAATTACCAAGGAAAACTTTAATAGTTTTTGGGAAACTTAGCTTGGAATTGGCTGTTGCATAAATTTAACATCTGCAGACTATTCAGTGGTTCCTGTTACTTAAGTGAAGTAAAGCTATATGCTGAAGTACAAAGAAAGATTGCTTTGGGATTAGAGTTCAAATGCTCAATAGCCTCTTCAATGCACACTGAACCTCATTCGCCATTTTCTTTCCATCCCACCCTCCTGAATGGTTATTTGTTATGGAAAAATTCCATATCCTTTGGGTTTTCTGTATAAGAAAGCCTCTCTGTTAATATAATGTTTTAGCACTATTAGATTTATCAGCTTATATGCATCAAATAAGAGTCACATTTTGTGGAAAGACTGCACGATTTGTCCCAAACATTACTTGTGTCAAATGTCCTATGGTTTATTAGATAATTTGAATTTAAAGGCACAGTAGTTTTGTTGAAAAAATATCATCGATAAATAATGCCTAACTAGAGTTCTCGGAAAACATGTTATTGAATTAGAGAAGGCAAGTCATTCTCTAGCAACGGAAAACGAACTGTGTGGAAAGGGTTTCGCTTTCAGTTTCCTAACGCCTTCGAAAATAGCAACTTCCGCCCTAACTGATGCGCATTACGTGCTCCCATCTTCACTAAAGCATTTCCCTGTCCCTTTAATCTAGATCAGTAACGACTGCTGGAAGTAAAACAACTGGTCTGAGTACAAAACAGAGCCTTACTAAAGTGTGAAATTAAAATAAAGTGACCTTTTAGTGCGCATCAATTCATAATTCATGAATCTACTTACCTCTCAGAATGTTGCTTTAAACGAAATAATTACACCCGGGGCACGTGAAGAGGCTATGCAATCGTCCTGAAAAGAGAAAAAAAGTAGCTTATGCGTCAATTATATCTTCACCATACGCTTGTTTCCAAAGGCTTGTGTTAAATTTTCCTAATCATACGCATTTACGCGAGTGAAATGCTGTAAGTCAACAACGGGTTATTAACTTTTGAATAACTTTACTGTTTTGTCTGTACCTGCTCTTTCTTCGGGTCAACTCTTCTCATGGACAACAATGTGCGTTTAAACCGATTAGTTTCCTTTTTTCCTGATCTTCCGTCGAGAGAACGAAGAAAGTCATAAAAGTTAGGTATTCTAACTGACTCAGAGAAGGGAGTTGGTAATGACATGCGCAAATGAAATATAAACACCTAAATCGAATAACACTATCACGCAGTGAAACTAACTTTGCAATGCGTTTCTCGGCGTCAGGAAGAAACATCGTTAAAAAAAATTGCAATGGCATTCTTTTAAGGTTCACACGAGCGATAAGCAACCTATTTTTTTCTCCTAAAGCTGGAGACGGGTTTTCGTTAGAGTTGCTTCCACACAACAACGCGTGATTCACTTCATACCACCTCTTACTACAGGTCACGCATCTTAACGAGGCACGCACGGCAGATTTCAAATAGCATTTTATCGCCAAAACTACGGACAAGTGATGCGTTCGTCTTCTGTTTTCTTATGTCTTGAGTTTTCAAAATTTTTAAAGGCTGGAATCCGCCCCTTCTCCCCCCCTTAAAAACACGGCCAGGAACTCTCAACTTCGACGCTCGTAGTTGCCACTTGATCCCAATCAAAACCTCCCTCCTCCTGATTACTGATTGTTGGAGTCTGATCAGCAAAGCTAAACTGTAAACCAAGCCTTTGAGTCTGTTCCTTTGCCGTCTCCATCATCGACCCGTCCAAAGACTGGCTATGCGAGAAGGACTGACCTAGATGGACCAGATCAGAATATTATACGCAATCAACACATGGACAGAGAGTCGGATTGTCCTGCAGGGATTAAAGAAAAGGAACTCTGCGACTGATTTTAAATTACAGGATAAATACTCTAAAATACATTTTTAAGCTGACGCCTACAAAGGAAAAGCATAAAGTTTTCAAAATAAATACTTCATAAAGCTTTACTAAAGAGTTATTGACCTTATTCCTATAATTTGCAATTTATCTGTGCAAGCTCAAATAGTGAAGATAAAATCTGAATTGAACCCTGAGTCAAACACTCAGAAAGACAAGCTTTATGTTGTAAGGTGCCGCTCATTATTTATCGCCTATGGAGGGCTGGAGGATTTTGGCTGTGTCGCAACTTAATTTACCTGCTTCCCTCATAATATACTCATGATTCCCCCTCATTGACAGTCAATCGGCGGTCAGTTTTCTATAGTCCCCCTTAAAACTCTATTAGCGACAACTGATCAGCCTCCGTTCATCGAAAACCATGTAAATCCCATCCCCCCCCCCCTCCCACAAAAAAAAAGAAAAAAAAAGGAAGATGAATCGTCCCTCCCCCGGTGATAAATAAAGTGTCTGGTCTCTAAAACTCTTCCCATAACTCAATTTTGTTAGTCTTTGAAAAAATTTACTCGTGCTTATTTATTCCAAATTGAACTCGAAATCATGTGATCACCTCTACAAATTCAAATTGGTTGGCATGTAGTTGACTTTGATTGCCTCAACGATAGATGTAGTTCCAGCATCACTAATACCATTGCTACACAAATTCAAATTGGTTAGCGTCTTGTTGACTTTGATTGCCTCGGCAATAGATGTAGCGCTGGCTTTACGCATACCATTGTCAGACAAATTTAAATTGGTTAGTGTCTTGTTGACTTTGATGACTTCGGCAATAGATTTAGCACCGGCACCACCAATACCTTTGTAATACAAATTCAAATTGGTTGGATTCAAACAGGTTCCAAAAGACTTTGCTAACCGTGGGTGAAAAACACTCTTTTGTCTTTTACATTCGTTAATGGCCTCCAATACAACTTTTAAACCACTGCCTTCATTTTCGTTGACTTTATTTGCTAAGTGCGTGTCCACGAGAGCATCAGGCAGTAGTGCTACATACCGTCTCACCGATTTCAATGAAACTTTGCCAGTTTAAAGGGTCTACTCCAAAACTCAAAATGGCAAAGTGGTTTCTGTTTTCGGTATTTCCGGGGGGAGATAGACCATCCTACCGGTTTTCTTGGGTTTTCAACGAGAAATCGCTTCATAATAGGTAAAATGTAGGAAGCTCTCACTGCAACTGTATTTAACATATTATTCTGATAGCTTGCACTTATTGGTACATCCTTAAGGAACGCATGAGACATGTTTCAATTTATTTGATTAACGGTTTGTCAATCAACAGTGCCGAATAAATTACTGTTTCTGATCTTTTCGATTCACTCGAATATTTGATAACTTTGAGGTCAAATATCTCCCCTTACCAGAAAGCTACAACACTAATTTGAATGCCCCTTTCTAATCCATCGTTTCATTTCTGAAAATCATTAAAAAAAAATTTGGGTGCTACCATATTTTTGTCTGGGTTGCCTTTTGAAATCTGCGACTGTGACAAGCTTTTCGACTACGAGCGTCACGCAATTCTGGCTGTAAGCGGTCATTTAAGCAAATAAACCGACATTTTATAGCTCGTTATACAAGATAATTGATCTAGGAAGCTGAGGAATGTAAAACAACTTTCGAGATTTTTTGTAGTAATGGAAATTTTATATTTATAGAGAAGGATGTGGGCGAAACGTTGATGGCAAAATCGTAGCGTTTTTCTCGTCTGTCGTTTACTTTAGAGATTTTGCTAAAATCGGCAAATATGGCTCTCTTATAGCAAAAAAATTCATTAGTCTTTGATGTGATCGTCTGTTATCACAGTTTACAATCAAGACATTGTAACAGGAAAGGAGATTTCAAAGACACATGCCGCCTACTTGTTGACACGCAAGTTTCCATGACGTGTGCAATACAGACAAGAAGCTTAGCTTTCTCACTTGAAACGAAATATTAGAAGTTATATCCGAAATTTATAAACTGCGCTATTATTCCTTAGTAATAAAACCATAACGGTTTTTTCGCAGTCACTTACTACCATCAAACATTTCATGCAGAACTTTGCCGAACTAATGTCTGTGGCGTGACTCCAAAATGTTTCATAGCAATAGGAATTATTCAATCACGTTGCTCAAGCCGTCTGCCAGATAATAAGTTCAGAATATTCTGCAGATCTCTTTGCTATTTTCTTCCTTCTTGGTCGTAAAATATATATATTTTGTAAACTCATGCTGTAACTACATGTAGAAAATCTGCATCTCTCTCGATCGAGAGTTGGCGTTAAATTGCGTCACTTAAAGAATGAGCCCGTAATATTTTGATCAGTGGGCTTCGTGCAAGTTTCCATTTAGGTTAGGTTATATGGGGAAAAATGCGAATCATATCCAGTTGTTTTCGGGATTAATGACAAGAAATTTGAACGAAAAGCGAGACGCAAAGGTCTGTATTTTTTAGTAGTCTAATGGTAGCTGCACCCTCCCATGCTGTCTTCGTTTAAATTTGCGACTTCACATATGCCAAAAAGTTAAGAAAACTAAATTAGATAGGGACTTCACGGGTGTCTGAATAGGGCAAACTGTCAACTAAGAAATGGTTATAAATTCTCACTACAAGCTGAGCTCTTTTTGCTTGCAAATCAAACAACGAATTACGATGCGTAATTAATTAAAATTTACCTCCGGATGCTAATAAATGAAATAAGGCAAAAATTGGCCTTTCTAACCTTCGACGGGATTACAAGTTGACAACCGCACCCCTCGGAAATGAATAATTTAAAGTTCAAGGTCCCTCCTTATTTCTGCCTTGTACGGTCAGTGTTGACTTCTAAAGCTAACTCGTCTGCATCAGCCTCTTCGTCCTCAGTCATACTTACAGAGGGGGACCTCCGCAATAGACCTGTTCTAGTCAGGGCAGAAAGCCGGCTGAAATATCGAGCTATCTGCTGCTCTGTCAACCAGTCAGTCTTAGAGAACATTTTCTGGCCGGTGTCGTCTCTTGAACTCTTCATTTTGGGGGCCATATCAGAGGCAGTTGCCTTCTTACCAGTTTCCTCCCCTGTCCAGAACACGTCTGCGAGATAATTTTTTGCTCTATGAAAAAAGGCAACTGCTTTTCGCGTTTTCCGAAGGGCCCATCCAAGATCCACCTGGGTAACAAAATTTAAGTGTGATAGTAACAGCCTATCACCAAGGAAACAAAACTACATGTTATCGAATTATTGATTGTTCTTCAGAATCTTGAGCTGAGGTCTGACTGTGAACTTAGCCACCACCTACGGAATGGACAGCCTCTATCCATTTCTTCCTGATCTCGTCGAAGGCGAATTCTTTTGCCAGCTGTAACATGTGTTTGCCGATGTCAAGGTGCTTTTGGAGGGCAGCGAACGACTGAAAAACCTTGATGCATCCTTCTTCCTGACAAGAGAATTTCTCGCTTTGGGTTGTAGCGATGACCCAGGTTCAGACATCTGCGTACGTTGTAGATAACTACCTACTTCTATGTTTTAGTAACTGAACGTTTCCGTTGTGACGAGCCTAATGGAGCCTTGGGGTGTTCCAAACCGTGCCAGCTGGTCTGCACTATAGAACTTTCCAGGTCCAATACCATAAGCACGCCACATTCTCAAGCCTCTATTCTCGTACGAGAAGTTATTCGATGCCTGTACGCCTGTCATGGTATGTTTGGTCATTGTTTGTGCGGATGGCTGAACTTGACACACTGCTGCATAGCAGTCCTTGACTCCACCGTACGATTCGAAGGCGGTTTTCATGTCGCTGGTTGTTTTGATATCATTACCTTCATTTAGAAAGCGGTCTTTGCCTGCTTGTGGTTCGCTTAAGTTGTAGCGCGTGATCTTGACACCAGTGCGGTCACCGATGCTAGGGAGCGAAAGCAGAAGATAACCGCAGTGGTAACAACCGGCGTTGTCTGATCTCATGTACACTTGGCTGAGATTTGGCTTTAAAGCCTTCAGTGTTGTCAACGTGTGTTCGATTATAGACGCCACCTCAAACCAGTTCTGAGTGCACTCATTAAATATATGGATGTAGGTTCGTGTCTGAAGAGAATATTAGAGTGGTTAATTAAAAAAAAAATTCAATCCGGAATCTCTGATGCATTTTTTAGTTTTGGCTTCGGGGCAGTTAGTTGTCCAAGCTCGAATAAACTCGCCTTTTCATATTTTCACGTTGGTGTAGTCAGTGTGCATCATATCAGTGGTTGCAGAAATTTGCAATGAATTTTCCTTCAGATTTTATTTAAGGGTTGTATACTAACTTGGAAAAAAGAATGGCTCTAGTACTGTTTCAACATTAAACAAACATCAATTTCCTCGCTGTCTGCTTTGTTAGTGGCAACAGTAATGTGCCAGGACTTTCCTTTTTGCCAAACAAATCGCGCTGCGTCTCACTGTAGTTTATTGGTAAGAACTTCATAGCCTAATTCATGATTAAAAACACGCTGCTTTGTGAAAGGGTATCGACAGCAGCAGTCTTTGCAGCATCTTGGTGAACAGATCGTACAATGTGCGACTTCCATCCTTCAAGTTTTGGTATGGCCGATTAGAGGTCATGCTGGAGTTCCTCCTGTTTCTCTTTGTTGTTATGGAGAGAAAGAGAATATAAGTAACAACAAAATTCAATGTATATGACGGCATTCTACTATTTGCTGGTAAAATTCAATTTTTGATTGCAAAATGTGGGATATACTCATAAAGAAAAAGACCTCACAGCCGATGCTGTGCTGATGTGAACAGGTTTCACGGTACTCAGCTTCATCGCTACTCAGCTTCATCGCTACTCAGCGTGTATACACTGCAATGATCTGCACAATTGAAAATGTGCTTGAAATGTGCAGCTTAAAGTCGGTGGACAGATAGCGTTTACCAGCTCGCAGACGTGAGGCAATTTCTCTTGCCTTATCATCTTGAAGGCCTGCATTAAGAGGAATACATTGGTTGTAAACGCTCGTGTGCCCTTAATAGCATGTGCAATCCATGAGACGTCAATGATTATAAGCAAAAGGGCAAGTTTCAAGGAGGACCACGTAGATAAGGACACTTACAAGAGCAATGGTTCCTATTTCAAAACTGACCTGAATTTCAACAATCCCTAGCGCTGATTATGCAGGCACGCAAATGAAAACGGTCGTAGCTTTTAAGCATATGCAGGTTTTGAATGAATCGGGTGTTAGAATGTAAAGATGGCTTCATAGTCAGAGAGGGTGAGACTTCTCTAAACTTTCTCTCAACCTTAACATACTCAAATTCTCCCTTCCATGGTGAGCCCTGGACTACCTCCCCTCAGAAAATACTGTTAAAAAGCCACAAATATAGATACATCGTCATCATTCTCAGCAATTTCCTTCAGAAAATCAATTATCTCCTCTAGGGAGGCGACTGCATTGACACCATCCGTCTGCGTGCTGTCCAGACCCGCCGATGACTTTTTCTGCGAGGCGGTGCACATCTGAAGTTCAAAACATTTCTGATTTAGTATTTATTTAAAGTGTGATAGTAACAGCCTATCACCAAGGAAACAAAACCCACAACTAACGCTGATCTTCATTTCACATACACTTTGCTCGCGACAGTGCGCAATCACCAGCATGTAAAAACCAAAGAATAAAACAGGGCGTTACCTTAAGGATATTAAAAAGCGTTGATCTCCCGAGCGGTTTGAAGTTCGTCTCTATACAATAGGTGTGATACAGATGTATGAGACGCGACGAGATAACCGTTCTCACGACATTAGGAATTTCCATTTTCTCGCCATTTGATAGCTTTAGCATTGTAGTTCCATATGCCACGTCTTGAAGATATGATGGACTTGATATTTAGTCCAGGAAATGATCAACCTTAACGGGATCTAAGCTCGATCTAGTTATGGTTGGTGTTTCTATGAGCTGTCCAGGTTTAGCCCTATATGCATTTTTTCTCGCCTCATCAATCCTGAACTTGGTCAGCCCCGGAACAAGCTGTAGAAGTTCCGTTTTACTGTAGTCGTCGGTGAAGAGGGAGAGAATTTATTACTGGGTGTACCAAGAGTTAGCTTCATTGTAGAAGGTCACTAGTCTGTCCACTAAGATGTCCTCTTCGGAAATAACAGAGACAGCTCGTCCGCTATGTTACTTTTCGAAAGTTTTCTGAAGCAGCCACGATGAATTCCCCGGGGCAATAGCATTCAACACGGTATCAACAGTTTGGCTGGCTTTTTTGCGGCAGTACCGTTGCGACGACGATGAAATAGGCATAACATCGGACTTGCACTGAGACCTGACTGGGCTAATTCGGCCATCAGTTGACTTCATTAGATAGCTGTTAAGGTACCGCAGCTGATGCTTAACCCGCGGAGTAGGCTGCCACTCGCGAGACGTCTTTACCCCCACCGACGACTCCTGCGACGACGACGAGAGAATGTCTGAATTCGGGTCGCCCTGCTATAGCAAAGAAAATTAGAGAGAAAAAGCTTGTTTGGCGATTAACAGAACACTCCACGCATCTGACTCCACCACACGAATTATTAATAGGAATACGTTTCTTCCTAATGATGATAATAATGGTAATAATAATAATAATAATAATAATAATAACAATAATGATAAATCGTATTCTTAACAATTACGATCGCAATTGTTATTGTGATATATTTGATAATGGGGACGACAGTGACATGCACAGGTCCAATGACGCAGCATAGATCACTATGTCTAAAACATCAAAACTCAGAATATTGCAATTCAGAACGTTTGGGCTCAGCAAGGAATAATTCTGGGTATTCTGTATGAAAATGAGTTACGTATTATTAACATGTATTGCAATATTTTCTTTCGGCCTCTAAACATCGGGAAAACACATTGTGGAATGACATGTATTCTTATCTCACTGCCAATTTCAACTCCAAATCGCACGCGTAAACGTGGCAACACAAATTCGTCTTCGGTTGTCTCAGGGGACTCCCTTCCTCTCTGTTCCTGAGATGGTCCTGCAGTCTGGTCCATGGACTCCACCTCTGTTGCAACTGGGATTTCACTTGTTACAGTCTCGATGTCAGAGGGAGGATGGCCCGCTTCCAAACTGTTTATGTGAGCGCCTCTGCAGTATCTGCATATACCTGACAAACATATGATATTATCTTCAAATCGGTCACAAGTTACAAGTAAGAAAAAATGATGTTCAGATAAGCTCCCTCTGAGTAAGCTTTTTCCATATACCCTATTCCTCGACTCTAAGATACGTTACGCGTCTTACAACAATTCGGTATATAATCAGTCTACATGATGACGCAAAATGCAATAATGAATTACCAGCACCAACTGGAACGACAGTGTTCCACTTTGCTTTGACTTCTCGTGCCGTCTTCGGATTTACTCCTCTCTCAACCTTACCTCTCCGATTTCCATGGAGGGGATGCTGGCATTTAGTCGAAGGTCTAAATCTCACACCAAGTCATGCACGATGTTTAGGGCATACCGTGGAATAGTGGCCTTCAGAATCTCCAAACAAGCCAACACGAGCTAAAATAAGCTCTTTCTCTGAGGAAACGCATCTATGAGATACATTGACGTCTCTCAAGTGTTCTTTTATGGTATCCATGCACGAAGTTAGGGATATGAGTCGTTGTCGTCCCGGCGAAGAAAAATCACATTTGGTACTGCAGTAACGTTCAAATGAACAAGACAAGTGTGCCATCCTAACTCCCTAAATTCGAGTTCTAGGTTGAATTGAGGGCTTTTTAGACGCTTGCACACTCAGTATACTAGATAGGATTAACAATATCCGTCACGCTGACTCCTTGAGAGGAAGGAAAAATATTACCGGAAGAGGAAATTCTCTCACAGTTACGTGACGTCTCAGATATGTTTATCTCCAGCTGTCACATAACATTGACCCCATTTTAAAATAACTTGGAAAAAGAGTGACCATGTAAACTACACACTTATGAAGGCTGGTCGATACAATAATAACGAAGAAATTATTTTACAATACTGTGTAAAATGCTTTAGCGTGCAGACCACGGGGAAGAAAGTCAATTTTTTGGTACATTTAATAACATTCTGAGACACTTATTAAATGGTATAATTAGGGAGTACAAAAGAGAGGAAGTGTACAATGTAGACGGAAGTAGGAATTCATTTCATTGTTTCTTCTCGGGCTGTCACAAAAGACTACGTAAATTGAATCATGAAGAATTTACTTTGAAATACCGTCCAGAATTTGCCTTTAATTGCATGCAAGCCAAGACAGGAAAAAATTTTAAAACATTTGACAGGACTTTCGGGGGGTTAAGGGTCAAAAGAGGTCACGTCGCCGCATCATCAGCCTGAGTCAAGAAGCGTCGAGCTGAGTGACATCGCATTCAAGTGAAATGAGTTTCCAAATGTAACGATCAATGCCGAGAGCGTGAGGAAAGGCACACTTTTTAGTCAAAGTGCAATGATTCTCCTTACCGTATCAAAAAATTCATTATGATACGGTGGGCTTGATTTTCTGCCAAGGTCGACGTGACTTCACATCGGATGTGTGTCACGACCCGGCTTAGAAGCAAGATGACACTTTTTTCTCCTTTTTTTTTTTGACGAAACTTTTTTTTTTCATAATTAACTGGAGAGTATCACTACCCGAACTAAAATAGTGAAAACTTGTTTTAATCTCTTGCGCATTTCGTCTGAAAATAACAGACTTCACCAAGGAGTTTTACAAGTGCGGTAAACTTTCGTAATTTTCATGTCTATTTTCGACCGTTTCGCTAAGGTGCTTTTCGGACGTTACGTGCACGGGTACGTGATGTGTTGGGGGGTTACAGATTTGGTGGGCAAGCAGAAAGTATTCGTAACGACGTAATGTGTGCCTACGGTGTGTTGTACATGCGTGACATTTTCCGACGTTACACGTACGAGTACGTGTGTGTTTTAGAGTCACGGATTCAGTGCAACAAACACATCACCTACTATACATGTAACGTCAATGGTTTATCATTCACAAAATTTTCCAAAAAATAGATAAACGACAATGATTAAAAACAAAAACAAAAGAATTGCCTATTTGCAGCGTGCAGAGATGTTTAAGCGAGACCTAAACATCTAAACCCGACACCGCGCGCCGAAACTCAATGGTGCTCTCTAACAGCTGGCCGGTAGGTGCACGCAGGAAAGGCCATGACATTCAGGGAAAATAATGGCAGATGAAGATGATGTTTGTAGAAGAAAATCAGGCAAATATAATAGCAGAGATGATAAGAATATTTTGGTGTTGTCACCTTGAAAAAGGTCAATGATTTTTTGTTCTTCTCATGAAAGGGCTCGAGGTCACGCTACAAATACCGTTTCTGCATAGGATTTCTTTATGGTGGTGAATGATAACAAAAACACCTTCCAGGCTCATTTTCTGGAGAAATAATGCATTTTATGAACTTGATAGAGCTTCTGATATTTCCTCTCAAGCGAGAGAGCAGAGTTTCTCGTCATCCACCGTATGCAAGACCCGAAGTTGTTGTACACGGGAACTTGCATGTCAACAAGTACGCGGCATGTGACCTCAAAATATCCTTTGCTGTTACAATGTCTTGATTGCAAACTGTGATAATAAACGATCAAATCAAAGACTAATGAATATTTTTTCCGTAAGAGAGCCATATCTGCTGATTTTTGCAAAATCTCCAAAATAAACGACAGAAGAAAAAAGCCTTACGATTTTCTCAACAATATTTCGCTTATATGCTTCTCTATAAATATGAAATTTCCATTACTACAAAAAATCTCGAAAGTTGTTTACATTTCTTAGCTTTCTAAATCAATTATCTTGTATAACGAGCTACAAAATGTCGGTTTATTTGCTTAAATGACCGCTTACAGCCAGAATTGCGTGACACTCGTAGTTGAGAAGCTTGTCATAGTCGCAGATTTCAAAAGGCAACCAAGACAAAAATATGGCAGTGCCCAAAAATTATTTTAATGATTTTCAGAGATGAAATAATGGATTAGAAAGGGGCATTCAAATTAGTGTTGTAGCTTTCTGGCAAGGGGAGATATTTGACCTCAAAGTTATCAAATATTCGAGTGAATCGAAAAGATCAAAAACACGGTAATTTGTTCGGCACTGTTGATTGACAAACCGTCAATCAAATAAATTGAAACATGTCTCATCTTCTCAAGACACATTCAACCATATCAAAGTACAGTTGAGCTAAATCGTGCCTTTCCTTAAAGTACTTGATGACAGATCCTTTTATAGGCGGAATTTGAGTGAATCCTTCGATCTGAAGCATCGCGTCACAACATTTTCTCACCTCTTTTCCAGTTTCGTGTCTTGCTGTTGCAACTATGTGGTATCTGGGGAGTACTCTTCCTTCAATTAATTCAGAAAAATCGACAATTTGCTGGATGGTAACTCATCAAATCCATCCAATATCAATAAAATGGTATTGTTGTTTGAATTCTTCATACTCGAGGAAGAAGTTGCTCATCAATGGCTTCCCAAACATCGGAATGCATTTCTCGACATTTCAGCAACAATACTGCTTTGAATGCTGTGGAGCCGCAGCCCTGAGGTGCTTGCTTTTTGGTGGCCCAGTCGTAGGCGTACTTTTTACAGTAGGTGGTTTTTCTCATACCAGGTTCTCCTCGTCGTACGGGTCGGACGGGTTTAGTATTGACGACATGTCAACAAATACGTTACTGATTTCTCCTCTCGTTTTCTTTCTTTGAGCCTTGTAAAAATATAGCCAAGAAAAAACTGAAACTCTTCACACCATGGAAACGGTGAAAGCCATCCCTCGTGAGTCTTGTACAGCTGGCGAATTCCATTGATAAGCTCAGTTGGATCAAAAATACCTAGCAGTAGTAAAATGAATAGGAAATTTAACGAATGCAGCATTGCGAGTAAGAATCTTATATCAATAATCATATGCTCGCAATATGCAGGAAGTTTATCTCCATGGACATGATTAATCGAGCTAGCTTGCCACAAGTCTACTGTATCTAAGCGTTAGAGTGTCTGAAGTACTGAACATGCAGAAGGTGGTGGGTTTGAGTCTCAACTGCCGAATAAGAGTCGTACGCTCTCACTAACCATTTCTAGTGTTCCTATTGGTTCTCTCAATTTCGATTATATAGAAATGATTTATCTAAGTGTCGCTCAGCTAAATCTATTTTTGGCTGGGAGCAATTACTTCTTTTTGTACACTGGAAATTAACTAAAGCAAATGCTAGTCAACGTCATGTCGGTAACAAAAAATAAAAGTCAAAAAGTTTAATGTTGAATGGGACTTGAATTTGAAGTTTAACTTACAGCACTAGCTTCATATCAACGCTTTATGGTCAAGAAAAGGTATAACGTTTCCACAACAGAAAGAACATCCGGTTACCTTAAAAATTTCATCATAGGAATTACAGAATTTGTGTTGAAATATCTACGCTCTAATAGGATCTTTCATTACAAAAACTCAACTTCGACTGCGGATCTGTTTAAGCAACCATAACACTGGTTTTTCCGTTCGCTACCACGCAGCAAAACATTTGAACATCAGGGTATAACGTTTTACTGATTTAACCAAATGTTTATCTCATTAGGAATATAACTCTTAAGAGCGCTTGTCTGTAAAAATCAAACATATCGCGGCAAGGGTGGAAAATTCGATTTCTTTCTTATTTTAATGTTAAATAGGCTTGGCTATAGCTAAAATCCCTGGATACTTTTTTTGGCAAAATAACTTTTTACTACAGAGAAAAATACAAATAACGAAATTCCGTTAAAATCGTCATTTTTAGAAGAAAATTATTGCACGAGTTTGAGGGCTTCGCGTGCAAAAAAGAATCACTATCTCGTCTTTTAAACATTGCGCTCTTCTTTTTCGATCTCATAAGACCTCACAAAGTGATTTTCGTAAACATTGCGCTCTTCTTTGCGCTTAAAATAATTTAATTTCGAAAGCATGCATTTCTCTTCAGTAAAAATACTTCGTGAATAAAATTAATTTTAACCATGTGCTAAACCTTTAAATGGATTAAACTTTTGGTGGTTGAATTTCGAAAAGACGTTCTCAGTATAACTGTAAAAATATGTTTGGGCAAATGATTGAGAACGATACAAAAGCTTTTCAAAGTCCGTTAAAATGCAGTTATTTGACCTTTTGCGCTCAACATTCCAGTCGCGAGTCACACATATTTTGATATGTTTCAACCCAAACGTCGAAAAAGGCCGAAAAATGTTCATAGAAAAATATTTACAAATGCTCTAACCTCATTTGCTGCAGAAGACCGAACCAGAAACCATTTTAGAGTGATTCTCTTGTCATTCGTCGTTCTAGGTCTGTATAAATGATAACGTCCGATGAAACCACCAACCCTGTCGAACACCATCTTGTTGTCAAACGTTCTATATCTTTCTTCACTGTGGCATCTTATTCAACGGTTCAGTTGACTGCGAGTATTGCTCAGTTTACAATGCACTAAAAGATTACATCTGACAGTCTAATTCAATGCCAAACTGAGTTGACTACAAACATGTACGCCCTTTGAGTATTTGGGTTGTCACGCAATACCGGTGACAAAGGAACTTAAGGGGGTAGGTGAAGGGCAAAACTCCATATAATTAAGCACTATCGGAATTCAACTCTTGGAACCTAAAAAATATTTTATTCTGTAAACATTTTTGTAATAGTGTCATCTTTGTCCGGTGACAAACAGTAAAATACATTTATTTATTGCAGGGAATTATTCTTTTGTTTTTTTGGCGCTCTGTGCCTGTCGTACCTATTAGGGGTGTTTTTCTTTCCACTAAAATTGCAAGGAATACCCTAATAGCATGAAAGAGAACCTTTTGTACAATTTTTACAACACCATGCTACAAAACGCAGTGGTGGGGATGTGTGGCTTATGTGAGGCTGGGGTGCTATGTTCCGTGGCCAATGGGTGGGGCTTGCATAAGGGAGTGGTACTATTAACCACCGTTAACAGACCAACTTCCGTTTAAAACCTTAAACTACAGAGGGGCCGACATATGTGCGCTCGGCACAAAATAAGGTCGATCTCATTTTCAGGACCGGTAAATTTGGAAGCCGACTCATGACTTGCGATATTCTTGGTGCATGAAAGTAAAGGAACAATTTCCGTTTCACGCATTCGATCTCTAGTGTTGTAACCACAAACTCCGCCAATAAGTGACTTGAACGAACAACAACCTTCCATTTTTTATGTAACAAAGTTGACCGTGTAAGTTACTGTATTTGTTAAAAACAAAGTCCGAAGCCCCGCCTCTAAGCGAACAAAAGGCATCGTGTAATTATTATAAACCAGGTTTTGTTTACTTAGGCTTACTATTTTTAGCAGGAACTGAATTTAGCTTTTCAACGAGTATTGGCCAGAGGCCCGATCTCCGCGACTTACATGTAAGAGATTTCAATGTTCACAACAACAAAAAAGCTTCCCAGCACAGTGACGTCTTTTTACTTTCCCCTTCCCCTACCCCCTAAAAAATAACTTTCCATTGTATGATTTGCATTGCGTGACGACTCTCCGTATACAAAACTACGTTGACTGCAACATATGTGCAGTGCCACTTTTAAAAGCATCGATTAGATCTACTGCACCACAAACCGAACAACACTCACAGTCAACTGAACCGCTGGATAAGATGCCACAGTGCAGAAAAATGTTAAACGTTTCACAACGAAGGTTGGTGACAGTTCGCAGATTGACAGGCAGTTTCATCGGATGTTATAAATACGACAAGCGACAAGATAACCACAATAAAATGGTCTTTGGATCTCTCTTCTACGGCAAATTAGGTTAGAGCATTTGGAAATGTGTATCCATGTAAATTTTCCGGCCTCATATGGGTTGAGTCGTATTAAAGTATGTGTGTGACTCGCAACTGGAATGTTGACCGCGAAAGGTCAAATAACTGCATTTTAACGGACTTTGAAAAGCTTTCGTATCGCTCACAATCATTTGCCCAAAGAAATTTTTACAGTAATATTGAGAACATCTTTTCGTAATTCTACCGCCCAAAGTTTAATCCATTTGAAGGTTTAGCACATGCTGAAAATTAACTTTATTCACGAAGTATTTTTACTGAAGAGAAATGCATGCTTTCGAATTTAAATTATTGTAAGCGCAAAGAAGAGCGCAATGTTTACGAAAATCATTTTGTTAGGTCTTATGAGATCGAAAAAAAAGATTTGAATGTTTAAAAGACGACATAGTGATCCGTTTTTGCACGCGAAGCCCTCAAACTCGTGCAATAATTTGCTGCTAAAAATGACGATTTTTTCACAAAGTACTTTTACTGAAGAGAAATGCATGCTTTCGAAATTAAATTATTTTACACGCGAAGAGGAACGCAGTGTTTACAAAAATCGTTTTGTGACGTCATGTGAGGTTGAAAAAGAAGATTTGAGTGTTAAAAAGACGAGATTGTGATTCGTTTTTGAATGCGAAGCCCTCAAACTTGTGCAATAATTTGCTGCTGAAAATGACGATTTTAACGGAATTATGTTATTTGTTTATTTTTGTCTGAAATAAAAAGATATTTTACCAAAAAAAGTATCCAGTGATCTCACATTAAAATAAGAAAGAAATCGAATTTTTCACCCTTGCCGCGAAATTTAGAATTTGTCTGATTTTTACAGACAAGGGCTCTTAACTCGTACACTCGAAGCGAGAAATTGAGGTCAGGATATTGAAACGAAAGCTATCCTCGATCACAAACTTTGCTCTGTTCCAGGTTCCTGTTACTGACTTGTTGGATACGAGATTGGTATAGCCAACCCACATCAGGTGCGGACTCATGGAACAACTGTTAAATATAATGCACATATTGTAATAAGTATTTACAGTAATTGTACGAAAGACAAAGGTTCTTTGATTACAGCTTACGTCCATTTCTTAAGCAAGACTACTGAATTAAAAAATGTAGGGACTTGGAGTCATTAGCCGGTTCTAGGCGTTCAGTTAGTAAAACAGAACGAAGTAAATGAACTGCGCGATACCAGTAGCAAAACAGCACGCGACCCGACCCACCCCTCCCCCGTTTTTTTTCACTCAGCTGCCATCATCGTATCATTTACTGTTACGCTTTGCATTTATCAGGAAATGTACGTGAAACGATTAGTAGTCTTATCTCAGCCAAGACAATACTCTGGACGCCGGGAATATCCGGGAGTTCCAGTATCGACATTGTAAGTCCCGTCGCCAATCCATTTATTTCCTCTTTCGTGACAAAGCGCAGTTTACGTGACAATAACTACCCGTAATTCCCAACGGACTAAGTTTTGTTGACTGTTCCAAATTTGTATGGTCAGCACTCGTTCTCATTATTTTTGTTTGATCCTCTCTTGGGTACTCGAAAGAACACTAATGATTTAATAGACATCTCCAGGGGGAAAACCTGTGCATTTTAATGAGTGAGCGCTAAAATATCATCACACTTTTGCGAATTATGCTCCTGATTGTGACGACAAATCCTTGGAGATAATGTTATTTACATGCAAGGTGATAAACATCGATAAGATTCCCAAAGAGATCGAGGAGTACTCGAGTCTTACACATGGTACAGAGTTTCATTTTATTCCTATACGCTATAACTATAGCAAATGTTTTAGATCAAAACGTCTATTGACAAAAGGACATTTACATCAAACTACGCGACTTATGATTAATCCTGGTCAGTCAGTCCTGACTCAAGACTACCTGCGTAAGTCTCCGAAGTTAAGTGACACCCCTATCGAAGTGCAAGAGAAGTGGCTAAAGACCCTCTTTAGGGTTCTCGTTATGATTGGATATTTTGCAAGAGTATATCAAAAGTTAACCGGTGAACACAGCAGTTAAACGACAGAAATAACACTCATGACACCCCTACCAATTCAACTACCTTATCAAACAGCGTGCAATATTCTTACCAAGGAACGACTCCTAAGAGTAATACAGAATTATCCTTAGTAAACTTACTTAATCTCACTACAGACAACAACTAAGCTCACCTATGACAAAATCTTTGTATCAGAGCTGGACTCGTGATATCGTACAGAGTGACGGATTTGGTAAAAAAAGTAATATGTTCCTCTTTAACAAATTTACTCATTTTTCCTTACAAAACCATTTCTGCTTTACCAAAAACTTCAAATCTTAAAATTTAGTTTCTTTTAGTCCTACCATACCTTGTATTTCACAAAGTTTAACATTTTGTTTCCCACAGAAATGTTAGAAAAAAGTCATTTTCCCTCTTGGCAAAAATCTTCAAAAACTTTAGATAAAATTTTCAGTGAATTCATATCCCAAAGTTTCGACGATTGCATAAGTAATGTGCCAAGTATAATTTTTATAAGAATACCGTTAATTTTAGTAATACTTTCAATGTAAAAGTATTTCGAGTTGGTATCGCAGGAAAGTGTGGTCTTAGGGAAAGCAATTTATGCGCCCGATAGCTTTCCTAAAAACAAGCGGCTTTTGCGGCAACTATGGCACTCAAAGCGAGATCCCATCAATCTAATTAATTGGATTATTTTCCACGCTGTCCTGCCTTTCAGAATTGAGTCAGAAAATAAACTGAACTCCAACGCTTGTGTCGAGCATGCGTGTAAGTGCTAAACATGTAAAAGAGAAAATGAGAGTATACTTTATCGGTAAACTGATAAAAGCGTTACAGCGTTTAAGAATATAAAATCAATTGAGTTATAACGTTCCAGCCTAATTGCTTAACACAAAATGGCTTTTTCTACCAATTAAGCGTGTGAGGACAAGATGATTCAGCCCTGAAACTTGTTGTGGCAAAGTGTTCAAACTATTAGCCGGTCATATACCGCGGAAATCTATCTAACTACACCATTAAATCCTCGACGTTTGCATACAACTGCTCGTCGTACATTGTCATGTTGATCAGCTTCTGCAGAAAAGAATAATACAATAATCGGCATATGATGCATCATTAAAAAAGTGTTCCTCTTACGTTATAAGCGTTTATCCTCCCAAGTGGTCAGCTTTTCACATCAAAACAAATTCAAGAAAGTATTTTATGGTGTCGTTTGCTGCTCTTTGTGCGTCTCAATACAATTTTGCAATAATCCTACCATATTTTAAATAACCATAATGAGTCAATTGTCGCAAGGACATTCTAGTTCGCTTCCTCCTTGTTTTTCGTGGAGTGCTAGCTTCAGTGACATAACAAGAAGATGCAATCCCAACTTCGTAAAAAGTACGCTATCTAAGCTAAACGCTATTAAGTTTAAAACCCTAATTAGCTAAGCCTAAGTTAGTCGGTCTAACGTGAAAAGAAACTTTCATGTTGAAGAAAATTCTCACCTTGTGTAGGGTTTCCATGTCCTTAAGCTGATTTTTCAATTCAGTAAAAGTTGGTCTTGCATCTGGGTCATTCTTCCAGCATTTCATCATAATCTGATACCTGGTATTGTTCAAATTATCTATTAGAGATTTAAAGAACGTTTCCTTGTAGGATGAGAGAGAACGAATTGAAAAAACACTTACAATTCCTCATCAACGTGTTGTGGTTTAGGCATCCTGTATCCTTCCTGAAGTAAGTTTGCAATTTTTCTTCCATCCATTCGTGGGTAAGGTGAACCACCTGGAAGAGCCATAAGACCATCGAAATATAAATGTGACGAAAAAAAGACCTTCACTGAAACACCACCCATGTCATTTGATGTGGTTTGAAGCTCATTACGTTTGTCTAAGTGAACACCTTACATTGCTTAATTGAACATGGTATATAGCAAAAAACATATACAGGGCCTTATAAATTTCCATCGATGTTACCTATGGTAAAAATCTCGTACAGCAAAACTCCATAACTCCATCTGCAGAAAGACAAATCAAACAAATATATATTGGGTGACTGAAGACATAAACATTTTATACGACAACTAAAATATATGTATTCTTTGACAAAGCATAGAATTCATGTCCTGATTGAAACTGATAAAACTTAGAGAAAGATGTTTTTCGTGTTGTCACGATTGTGGGACGAAGGAAAAATTTTGAGTCCCCACGAGGAATTGAACCTCAGACTTTCGGATTCCGCGCTCCGATTCTCTCTCTTATTTTTATTTACAAACATGACTCTATCGACATTGCTGATCCTTGCAGTATGCAAGAGAGTAGAGTCGTAGAGTCTCTGTGGCTCAGTGGTATGAGCATCGGAGCGCGGAATCCGATGGTCTGAGGTTCGATTCCTCATGGGGAGTGAAGAATATTTTCATTGTCCAACGCTCGTGAGAGGATGAAAAACATCTTTCTCTATTTCATTACCGAGCCCAAAACTTACCATCTCTCTTATTCTATTGGTAAAACTTGTTGGAAAATTGCTACGGGTAATAATCAGGTATACTTACACATCACTTTTGGTGGTATATTTACCATACATCAAGGCCTCATAAGCTGTCCACTTCACTGGAAGACGGCCCTAAAGATTTCAAATATCACTTTTTGAAACAGCTAAAAAATTATAGGAAGCGACCGGTCAAAGACAGTGATATTTAAAATTATACTCGTATACAAATGGCTGTTTTCATTATGGTCCCATCCAAGGATTTTGTCATCGAAATCAGGAGTATATCAGCTTTATCACAAAATGATTGTGAAAGATAATTGAACTGAACGATATTTAGTACCGCCCCCACCTCCCCTCTTTCTTGATTACCTTAGTCTTTCGTTCATAAATATTTTCCTGCTGCACATCTCTGGCCATTCCGAAGTCTGTCACTTTACAAGTTTCCTTTTGTCCAACCAACACATTACGAGCTGCAAGGTCTCGGTGAATGATCTAAGAAAGCATTGATACGAGAGCAAAAATTAGCGATTTCAGAAGAAAAAGAACTGAAATGAAATGATTCAGATAGGAAAATAGAAATATCCAGCGACATAATATGGCGTGTGTATTTCTCTTTCTTCCAGATGGCAGAAAATTAAAATTATTATAGTTACTGCTCCATCTTCCAAAGGGAAGCAAACTACTTCATTTCTGCAATACCTAATTATTTCATAGAAAGCTTATCTTAAGATTTTATTCGAAATAGGATTCTGTAATGTAGCAGTTTAGCAACCAAAGACGAATTTTTGAATTTAAAGTTTTAATTCCTTTTCTTTCTTGTCACTAAAATGGATATTCGTTGTACACTCAGTTTAGGCTGAATAAAAGATCCTATTCATTCACATCTCTGCCTTTGCCTACACGAGAAAAACCCAGATATTTAATTTCGATGAGGTGCACTTGCAGCGATGCACAAATATCGCCATTCGCACACTGAAATATAACTTTGGTGATGACGTCAAAACTGGTAGGGTTCCCGGAAACAGCCTCAACGAGACGGTAAGAATACGTTTGCATATCCCGGGCGTGATCTTGTGAAGACATATTATTCTATGCAAGACATAGCTTCACATGACGATACACCTTACAAGAAGGTTTTAAAATTGTTCTTCTTTGGTGCCTTTGTAATTAACTTACAGATTTTGAGGACAAATAACTCATTCCATCAGCAATTTGCCAAGCAAACTTCATCAGCTGCTGTGACGTCAGATTTGTTTGTGGTTTGATATCCGGGTCTTTGAAGTAAGTGTCTTTTAATCCACGGCTCTTTCTCAGGTAACCCAGCAGATCCCCAAAAGGCACATATTCAATCAAAACCAGCAGCTGTTCTGAAGAAATTAAACAGTTTCATTTATATATTTCTTCCTCTAAAAAAATTAGCAATAAGTAAAATAAATAAATAACACAGTCAGGTTCAATACTTTTTAAGAAATCGCACGAAAACAAGATGTAGTTTTACGAAGAAAAGCTGAAAAACTTTGTAACGGTCTCATAAGAAGATACAGGCCAAATATTCCCTTAGAAAAAATGATTCTGCTCATACAACAGAATGGCTTGTACAATGGCAAATATTTGGTCTTCGTCTATCAGCAAATCCAAGAGCGTCGCTGTTAGCTAAAAAAGGATAAAATTACCATATGCGATGGTTGTTTGTTGTGCGCGATTGTGAAGCAGTGAATCTTCCATTGAAGCAAATTATCAATGACGAGAAAGCGTTACAGAGTAAATCAGATGCAAAATGTGTACAGCAAAATTGGACCTCATAATCAAAGCTAACCAGATTCTGTTACGCATCCCAGAAGTTTAATGACATAAGGATGTGGCTTCAGCTGCTTCATTGTGTCAAGTTCTTTCATCAAATCTCTCTTGTCCGATTCAGTAGCGTTTGCTGGAGCGTTAAAAACAAGGAGTAAAATTTGGTTAACGGAAATAATATGCAAAATGTCGAATAGCGACAGAAGTTATCGAATGACAAATAGCCAAAAGTTACGTAACCCGGTAACAGTATATGACTGTAGGCCAAGACTGTCATTCAATTTACAGTTCAAGAACTCACTTTTAAGCATCTTAATAGCCACTGTGGTCGCTTCAGGACTCCCTTGAAGTCCTACTGCTGTTCCCTTGGCAACCTGACCAAAAGCACCTTTACCAATAATTTTTTCTATGGTCACGTGGTGTCTTGGAACTTCCCAGCAGCGTGTTAACGGATGAAGAGGCACGTAATCAGCACCTGAAGCGGTACTTTGTGCTTTTCTATCATGTTTGTTGACTTCTATGAGATCCATGTATTCCGCAGGAGGCTGGGTGAGTTTTGCTGAATCGGGTAGACTTGGTTCGCTATCTTCTAATCCTGTTTCATTCTATTAAACCAACATACCGTTAAGGTATTCATATACAAATCTGTTATTAATCCCAATAAAATTTCCTACATTTTCATAAAAATCAGTTTACCCGTTTTCATCAGACAAGCGTTTATATTATTTCATAGCAAGAGATTATTAATAGTTTATAATCTCTTGTCCTTAAATATTACTAATATTTATTATTACTAACACTTTGTTCTCTGCCATTGAAACTATCATGTCCAATGCAGTGATCGAGGTTCATAGCATATTCGTTGAAGCTACAAACCGCAACATGAAGATCGTCGATTGGTAGTGCAATTGTTTGACAAATGTACACACGAAAAAAAAACTCTTGCTGTACTAAGCTCCTGGACTAACGCTTGGAAAATAAGGCATCAAGATAAAGAGACGACCAAAACGGCGTGAAAAAAAAAAATATTTACAAAACAAATATCAACCGGGTGCAGACCAGTTTGCGATCTATGAAGTGAAACCACGCAGTTGAACCAGGAACAACCGAAGGAAAATCGATGGAGCAGCTTGGTAAAGGACATGATCCCAGGACAAAGATCCTATCGAGTCAAACTTCTTCCCATATTTTATTGTGCCTGTCATTAATGCATTATGCCTTTTTGGTAGAACTACACCTTTTTTCCTTCCTATTTGTTGCAAGCGTTTATTTCCTTCTAGAGATTACATAATTACTGGCCACACTAACATGACCTCAATGTCTTAGCTGTAACTTACGTAGGAAACACCTCTTTCATCTTCATAAGTCCTACAATTGAGAAAGCATAAAAATATTTATTTTGAGCAAAGAATCAATGTAAGTGGAAGTTTGTTATACGATGATACCATATCTGGAACATTACATCGACACAATCCAAGTGCCAAATTCTTACCTCTGTTTCCCAACAGCGCCTGAAAAAGAACGAAAGGAAAAAAAAGACAAATGATGTGGATGTGGGTCAAGATTTGCTTTTGCTTAATAAAGAATCTTGCAGCCAAACCCTCTATTATAGATTATGAATTTTTTACCTACCTTTCTTATGTAGCCAGATTATGTAAATAATTAGAAGAACGATTATGAAGGCAAGAACCCCATTTATGGCTAACGAGACGTTGTTAGATGGGCAGTTACATTCCTCAGGACCTAAAATGATTCATTTTACAAAGCTTGATCAGGTAACATTCAAACAACATTTACAGTGATCGTGGTCAGTACACTGCTCTCACTACCTAGCTTGCGCTCATAAACGAAAACCGTTAACTCTAATTGGCTAGGTACTAAGGAAAAGCAAGGTGCTACTCTCTCTATAATAATTTTTAAAAGAAAATTCTGTTCGATTGAATAAAACAACAACAGAGACAAAAACACAACTTAGAAATATGTGACTCACAGGATTGAGTTGTTTAATTAACAGATACGGAATACAGTTAGAAAAAGTCCATCTTCGGGACGAATACGTGTAAACATTTAACAATAATATTTCTTGGTAAAATGTACCTTTCGTTGTGCTTTCCGAGTCGTCTGCGGGCATAAACACTTGTTTAATTGATTCTGGATCGACTTTAAAACCTCCGAATTTGTTTTGCCTCGCAGCATCCAACAGGACAGTCAAAACATTGCTGACGACTACACTTCGATTGAACCTCATCATGAAGTCGAGAACAACACTGCCACACCTTGGTAAGGGGAGAAAGATGTAAAATGCCGAATCGAACACCGTGCCGAAAAGAGTAAGGTGCATTCAAATGTAGATTATTTTGCATTAAAGAAGATTTTTTCAGAGCAGAGACACCAGTTTAACGCTATAATACGCCAAACTGAGATAGAGCTCCTCCCCGCCCCAAAACACAGATTGCGTTAGCGTTTGTTGTTTCAGTATCGAGACAAACTGCACCTTACCTGGTGTTCACGGTGTTGGCGGATGAGCAGCCAAACTTAAAGGCAATTTGACAAGCCTAGAAGGACATTTGAAGAAAAAATGTAAATTCGAATACTTGTTTCATAGTTGAAGATCGTTCAGAATGTCATTTTTTTTAACAGAAATATTGAGATTTCGTTCAAGAGCAGATTGATTAAGATTCCCTTTTGATTATAATGATAAATCTTATGACAGTATTGTGTAAACTCCGGTATATGGATCAAGTAGATTATCTAACCATTTCTGGAAATTTCGCAGCAACTTCTGAACGTCTGCTACAGTTCCCCTGTATTGTCGCTGTCAGGTAAACTTCTGTGCTTTCTGAAGCTAAAGGAAGGCCGTGTCCTTTTACATTTACAAAAAACATGAAGAGCCTTGATTCTCAAAAACTGCTGAGAAGTTGTTTCTATCTAGCAACAATTCAGCTTGAACATTGTCCAATAATCCCAGCAGAGATCGTTCTGACAGAGTGCGCTACTAAGCTCGAGAGTAAACTTATGTTTTAATGCACGCAATAGCATAAACATGTTACGATTAGCCTTTTTCACAATGTTTTGATATTTGATACAGAAGCTAGTAACATGTGTAAGTAGGCACACAGAGGGATTGAATTATATTTTTTGAACGAATACTATAGTTCGTTCCCCCCCCCCCCACTCCACTTGAAAAATAGTTTTGCAAATAGTTTTGCAGAGCCTCATGAATCATGTTATTTGTGTTTGAAGATGGCCAGCATAATAGGCCTCAAAATATTGGAAGGAGTCTTAAGAGAAATAAAAATAATACATTTATACATTTATAATTATGCTTATTCTTCTTCCTTCCATAGTGGAAGGTACAGCCTTTTACTCATAAAGATATTTTGAGTCGTGCATGACACCTGACGAGATTCACATAATCGTATAAGTTTGTCTTTGATGAAAGGTAATTACGGAATAGTAACAACTTCACAAACAAGTATTTCAATTTTTATATAGATTTAGCAGTCTGTGTTATGACTGTTTGTGAGTCTACAGTCCTTCGCTAAGTTCCAGACCCTTAGTGACTTAATTCACTCTTGGTCTTTTACTCAAACTCATTTCGTAACACCAAAGAACATGCTATTATGATGATATAGTTTTACATGGTGGCAAAAAAACGCCTATAAAAACAATTACCTGCGGGAGTTGTTTGGGATGAAGTGGCAATTGTACTTGAAACTGTTTGAACTGGGAAAAAACAAAATACGACTTAAAATGATCGACAAGCAATTTTAAATTTTATGCAATCATCATACCAACCTCAAACCACATGATAATAATAATACCTTAGCTTAAATATTTTTTTCACGGAGGTTTAGGGTATGATAGACTATACTTCCTAAACTTTTATTATTACTCATAACATTGTCATCAATATTATTATCATTGATACTATTATGATTATTATAATTGTCAACACTACCACTAAAAAGCACCCAAAATGTTAGAGAACTACAGACAGGTCCATAAAATCTTAGAACAAAACTGATCTTTCAGTGTTAAACTCAATAAAAAAAAAGATATCAATGGACGGGGCCAAGTTTGAAATAAAATGTCAAGTGATAAAGTGTCAAGTGTTAATATGTTAAGTTTATGCATGTTGATAATTAATTTTATTTAATTTTAAGATAGAGCCTAATGGTTTCTTCTAAAATCAAGAAAAAGCGCATTTCCAAGTAAAATGGACAAGGTTTTCTAGCGCAAGGTTCGCAGTGTTAAACTTTGCGTGCAGAAAACCTTAACTGATCGAATTAGGCCAGAGACCAACGACTGACTTCAGATCGCTGCATTAGGGTATGTACCTCGCACCAATCAGATTGCCGCATAAGGGTTTGTATCTCACACCAATCATCACATTATTTGGATACCTTGCACCCATCACAGTGTTCTCTTGCAAATTGTGTCGTGGAATCAAGGGGCTGTGCACAAAGAATGACATTACCAGAAAGTTTGGGCTCATTCATTTAAGAAGTGTAATGGGTTATGGCCTTCGCAAAATCCTTGTCGATTAAAGTCGAGGTTTATCAGGATATAAAAGATTCACTGTAACTAAAGACCATACGTTTAACGCCACAAAATGAATGCATAGCTAATCTGTTTGCCCGCGAGACGAATATTTAGATGTAAGGATGTGTACATGTGATTCGACTGAAAATAAATAATTAATACAAATATCTAAGTACATACATAACGACAACAAGACTAACGACAGAGCTACAAAAAATAGAAACGTATTTACAATTTGTGGCGTAACCAGGTCTGGTATTAAAACTCTTAAGCAAAAGTAACACGGCGTAAGCAAAAACTAACGAAACGACTGACTTATCTGAAATCAACTAGTAATGAGAATTGTGTAACCAAAACAAAGCCTATACTAGCGAGAAATATAACGCTACCAGCACTACGTAATTCTTACACAACTTCATGCAAAAACGCGAGCTTAATTGAATCGAAACAGAACATCACAATAGTAGCTCACTTGAATCACTAGATCACTTGAATGAAAAACAATATAAGATCTTTTCGCAGTTACTTGACAATAGACAGAAATGCAAATTCAAGTTGCTACATTCTAACCCCTTAAGTTTACTTTAAGTATTGAGTGACTACAATTCAAATAATAACGTAAGAGTCCCTTAGGTTAGTCCGCTAGTGTTCAAAGTTCACGCACATCTGGTGCACAGATTTAAAGGCTTTTTTCACTTTCAATAAACAACGCGATAGTCAGGTAGATGAAGTAGAGTCCTTCTTCAGGAGTAGGATCTCTTGTTCGAGGAAACAAAGCTTTGAGATTGGCCTCATGAATGAAGAGGACTTTGTCGCAACCTCGACAGATCAGATAAATCCATCCCTTCCGAGGTGAATTTCGAGAACGCGACCCAAAGGCCATTGATTAGGGTGAACTCTTTCATCAGGAAAAAGTATCATGTGGTCTGATCCATTTCTGCCGTTCTTGCAAGGTATTGAACCTGCTTCCAGCGACGTTAGCAGTACAAATTATTCTTAGCGAAGACTCCTGGTGGCTAATTTAAATGCGATCAAAGTAACAGATGGTTAGAAGTCAAAGATTCTGAATCAACAGGACTGCCACTGTTGGGAGTCAATGGTCGACCATTGAGAATTTCCTCAACTGCTGCCATCAACGTTCGCAGCGCCTTTCCAGAACCAACCCTTGCCTAAGAAGGACTCTTAAGATCTTTCTCACTTAACGAATCATGCGTTCTCAGACTCCTCCCACGTGTGATGCACCAGAGAAATTAAACTTCCACTTGATATTCTTCTGGTGTAGGAAAACTTCTATCTTCTGCTTATTCCAGTTGTTTGAGGCTTCACGAATTTCTCTCTCTCGGCCACTTGAGTTCATACCATTGTCACTCCTTATCATCTTTGGCGTCTCTCTTTTTCTGGTAAATATGCAAAGACCGCTAATAAACGAATCTGTTTCGAAAGACTCGGTCACTTTCATATGGGTTGCTCGAATAATCAAGCAGGAGAAAAGACATCATAATTTTCAACTGTCTTGCTCCACGTACAGTGGACAAAAGAAATCATGCCAAGGTTAGAAAACGGGGGTTTATCTGGAATAAGCCTGTTGCCAGGTAAATCTAACATTAATTTTTGGCCCTTGGCAGCATTTTAACTTCGGCATGTCAAACAGTTACCAAGAACTCTTCAAACAGCAGCCCGTTCCTTGAAGATCCAGTACTTTTGTCTCAAACTGGTCAGGACATATTCTTGGCCTAAATGACCCCCAGACTCATAAAATCCATAATGAGCAGCTTGGTAACATGGTGCTTTAAGGGTAACAGTAATTCATGTTTCAATTGCTAATCCAGTGGAGAATTTTCAAGCCGATCACCAACTCTCAACATTCCCACTCCATCCAGATATGGTTTCAATTTGTACTCTAAACCAAATGAGCCGATAATCTTCAATTTACGCTTCTCGGATTCTCCTGGGCTCAAGTTTAGGAAGGCGAGAAAGCTAATTTTTGCACGTACGTGATGATTTGAGCCTCTGCATGTCGTAATTCGTTTATTTAGCGGTCAATTTACTGGCGACTTCATTTGATTACACCGATTTCAAACAGTCATCCACATGAAAGTTCTTCAATACTGTGTCGATCACTTTATTGTTAGTCTCCTGCATTGTCTTGGGCCGTCTTTCGAAGACCAAAATTGTCCCAACTTGGTAAAGACATGCTACCAAAAAGGTGTACTCAACATGCTCCTTAGATAAGTCATATTCAGGCCACCAAATGAACCTTAAGGTATCAATACCGTTTGGATCAACCATAACTTGATGGAACGTGGTTTCAATGTCTGAGGAGAGAGATACTGGTTCCTGACGAAATCTTAAGAGGACACCAAGCAGGCTGTTAATCAAGTCGAGACCACTTAGTGGTTGGTCATTGAGCGATGTCCCTTTGTAACGGGCTGTGCAGTCAAACACCACTTGCAGTTTCCCAGGCTTATTAGGATTGAAGCCAGCATATAATTGACTGGTGGTATCTTAACTCGAGGTTGTTCATTGTCGTTTTTTTTTTAATTTTGGCTCATTTTCGCAAACCAACATTTTAATTCATTTCGATAAAATATCAGTTCAACTGAAACTGACATCATACACTACATCTGAAGAAAACATTCCCCATCCTCGAAAATCTGTTCAAAACACCAGGAACATCAACAAATGTCTTCATCTGCTTGAAAATACTGCTAACTAGCACATGTGTTGATCGCCAGGCACAAAACGTCAACCTCATCACCAGGGTCTCTATTCCTCCCTGTTTGGAGTTGTAATGATTCACTGTGTGGGAAGTTTTATTGGCGCAATGTAAACTGGTACAAAACATTTTTCCCGTTTTGGATTATATATCCAAAGTACTTAAAAATGCCTAAAGATGTTTCTACTCACCCTTTATGTGAAGTCTCAAGGTGGCTTTTGCTCCATCTCCAACGTCATTATGTGGGACACATTTGTATTCGCCATAGTGCTGAGATCGATTGACGTTATTGAGAGTATACTCGCTGTTGCTGTTCTCGCTTAGGAGGCTGCCATTGAAATAGAACTTGTAAATTGATACTTTTGGCACAGCAGCCATAACTATGCACTTGAATGTAACAGTGTCTCCTTCAGTGACGGTATTTTGTGCAACACTGGTAGTGAGCCTCACACCTTCAGGTTTGTCTAAAAATTTAAATCAAATAAAAATCTCAATCTCAGTTTATTTCATCGCTCATATATTTCGCTTGGTTGTAAATCATAACCTCTTTTAACAGTCTAGAGGGTGCATGACCATGCAACAAGGAAGGGTTAATCTTGTATCGTCCATGGAGTGCTTTGGGCAGAAAATATAACGCCCATGGTTAGAATGCTGACTTTAAGCAAAATACTTTAACTTGCACATTGCACACTGAAAAACAATGACATTACTGCAGCAAGAAAAATAACACCAACTATATTTTACTAGTAGAACTATTTTAAATCCTCTGTTAATAAAAATGAGCAATTTGTGAAGCTCAGCTTTTTGTCTTAACGGACATAAAACGTTGTCGCTCTTGAAAAATTTTTGATGAAAATTCTTAATTTTGAGCCAGAAGACGAGTGCAACAGTGCCCTAGACGCTGCGCGTGAGAGGATCTCATCTCGCAAAAAAGCGGAAACCCAATTTAAATCCAAGACATTCCTTATTTTCCTCAATTGGTACCAGAATGATACGTTTATCTAAGAAATTCCTGAGGAACAGAGCCTCCCTTGATCAATTTAAGAGAAACCTTAAGTCAAGTGCCTCATAGGCTTGATGCTTCTCGGTAGAGGAGCATCTTCAAAATTATCAGGGTTTTTTGGCTCGACTCCACTACCAGAAATGCAAACAAACCATTCAGTTTTTTGTCAACAACCCAAGCTTCCTCAAGTTTGCTGTTGCGCAGCAGCAGAGCGAAAAACTAAAAGGAAAAACCAGGGAGATTTTGCCGGGTCAGGTTGTGTTCATACTATCGTGGCTCGTTTTACTTCCTGAGAGTCTGAAACAGGCTAAATAAAATTAAAATTGTGATGATAAGTATTTTAAATTTACACGGGCAATAGTATGTAAACTGCTTGTTTGAATGAAAAACCTTAGGGAAACTAAATGAAGGTGGGAATTCATCACAAATCCCTGGATACCTCTATAGTAATTCTACCGAGTTGAAAAGAAGACAATTTCCCAGGCACAATTCAGGATATTTTTCCATACTGTATTGATATCATTTCTACAATTCCTGCTGACTGCCATCGTAATTAGATGTTGAAAGTAAATGAAAATAAACCAGTACGAGAAGAACAAGAAGTGTTATCAAGTTCTTAAAACATTTTTGTGAATGCCATATTTTATACATGGTTCTAGCTTTCTAAATCGTTCTTTTCTTCTGTCAACCTAACTCTTCTAGCAAATCCAAACTGTTAAAAATTTGAAATTATTTTTAAACCAGAAATGGATAGCTGTGCTTGTGATAGAATAGTATGGTTTTTGATATTGTTATAGTAAATCAACAGTCGAATTATTGCTGTTTTGTATTACACTGTCCTCTAAACCTTGGACCAAAAATTCAAGTTCGTAAGAAATAGAAACTTTAGTCACAATTCTTAAAACTGTTTGTTTCAAATTGTTAAGATTATGATATACATAAAAAAACAATACTTGCAATGTTACACACGTGTAAAGAGCGAGCGCAGGCTCTCTTCTAGGAGGAAAAAAATCAACTTGTGGCGTACTCCCCCTGAAGAGTCCTGACCTTAAGCCCATAGAAACCTTATGGCGTGAACTCAAGTTCTATTTGGAATCAAAAGTAAAACCTCACAACAAGCAGGTGCTTGTAAATTGTATAAAGAAGTTCTGGAAGAGGAAGGTCACGCCGGTGAAGCGTGCACAATACATAGATCAAGTTTTGCAAAAGGTTGTTCCAGCTATGGTGGAGGCTCGAGGTGCTGAAACGAAATATTACAAAAGGCTCTGTTAAGAGCCACCGCATCCTGCTCCACCAAACTCTCTGTTAGACATTGCATTATGGGTCGCTCAAAATGGCTCTTTCAGGAGCCACCAAATCTGATGACAGTAAAGGATCAATATGATCTTTGTATCGCAAAGAATTTCCTACAATATTGATATAGTTAAACAGTGGGATATCGTTAAGAAACTTCGTTTCTCACACTAAAATTGTTAAATGAAACAAAGCATGCAGAAATTACAAAGATTATGATCAGTTTGCGTAAAGCGAAACGAAAAGGGAAAAAGGAAAAGAAAAAAACTCCTAGGTTGTGTGGAGCCACTCAATTATGGAACGTTAACCGTTAAATGAAATATAATTATATTGACATCACGAAGATTATGATCAGTTTGCGCAAAGAAAAACCAAGGTGATTTTCGTCGAGTCATTTTCGCCAAGTGATTTTCGCCAATGTTTATTGAACCTCAAGAAACTTACATCGAATGAAAGCTACGATGTAGTGGTATATTGCAACATAAAAAGAGCCTATAAATGCAGTGAAGTTCACAGAAACGGATTCGGCGTTCTTTCATTGTGTTAATCACAAAAAATGGCAACGTAACCTGTGATACGAATTTCGTTCTTACGACTGAGGTTCGTTATCAGATCGAATGAAATTCACGTCATATGTAAGGTTAGATCTTAAAGTTAACTAATTTTTGGTTTTAAGGGTGCTAACAAACACGGTGAAATTTTTCAGAAAGCAACTTGCTTTCCTCTGGAAGTCTCTGCTGGCAAACGGATCAAACTTCGAAAATATTAGTTCAAAACACCATCTTTTTCTCGGGATTTGAAACTAACGTCATCATGAAGCAGGACAAAGGAAAACTGCTCTCGATTACCTTCCAATAGCAATAATAATACTTTACGGGCGAATTAAGAATTATCACCATGCATTTTTTTTTTGTTTTGTTTTGTTTTTTTTTAATTTAAACGACCTGAGACAAAACTATCAAGTAATAAAGGCTTGGAAAAATGCTTTCACGAAACAACGCCTACGTGTGTCTAACGTCATTATAATTATTTTAACAACAATTAGCACGCGAAAGGACGCCAAACTTAATTATTGTCAACGTAAAGTTGCAAATAACTAGGTAGTTTGCATGTAATGTAAACTAAAAGAGACCAATCCGATTACAGACTTTTCGATCTGACTTAGCCGTAAGAGAAGAGTAAAAGCCCAAAATCGTCCGCTTCAGCCACTTTTATTATCACCATTAAAATTGAAAATCTATCATGGAAAGAAAGTTCTGAAAGCGTGAACAGTATTCGGACGTTAACCGTTCAACAATCATCAATTCGTCCCAGCTTAAAGAGGAGCAGAAAGTAAAGGTGATCTCGGGAAAGACTCGTGAGAAGCACATGGCAGTTGTGGATTACTACCCCCGCTAGAAGTGGAGGTTCAGCAAACTTTCACAGACAGCGACCTACCGCCACGCCAAACAAGAGCAAAGAGGAAATTGGTAAGTATTCGTTCAACAGACTGCCTCTGAGTTCGACATACCTATACTTGTTAAGTTGAAGAGATTTTGATGCATTTTGATTTTATTCGCTGATTCCAGATTCACCTTGGCAGAAACAAATGAAACAGCTGGAGAGAAAAGTTACAAACAAAAAAAACCAGGAAAAACCTAAAGGAAAAGTAAGTATCAGCAAACATATATTTTTTCAATGTTAATAGAATTTGTTGCTAAACTTCAAGAAAAATAACACCAACTATGTTGTTACTAGTATAACTATTTTAAATCCTCTGTTAATAAAAATGAGCAATTTGTGAAGCTCAGCTTCTAGGATTCTTGTCTATCCAAGCAGTAAACTGACGCTTTTTATCACGAAATTTCGCTGAACTTTTGTTTCAAAACAAACATTCAACGAAACAGCGCTCTTTGTTCAACGGAACTTTTGCTCAAAGAGCCTCAAATTGTCACTAGAACTTTCGCACGGAATTTCGACGAAAGTTCACTTGAACAAAAAGCAAAATTCGCGCATTTCCGTTGCGTTACTTTTGCACAGTACTGTACATTTAATATTTGTTTGCCGAAGGTGAAGTGAATATTGTTGAACGATCTCCAAGACGAAGTTGAAGCGATTATTCACTTCACTAGGCCCAATGCTGCAATCTCATTGGCTTGGGAGAAATGCCATTTCTGGGCATTTACGTCGTTTTTGTTTGTTTGTTTGTTTTTTTTGTTTGGTTGTTTTGTTTTGTTTTTTCTTTACCTGATAAGAACAGAAAGCGGTCCAAATTGTAAATAGACCCTGATCACTGAATCAAGTTGGTTGTGAGCTACTAAAAATTAAATAGTAAATGCTGAAGGGGTGAGATGTGGACCCCATATCTGGCTTTGTATTGAACTTTAAGTTGTAACAGGTCATGTTTTGTATGTGGTGTACTCCAAGAAGGCTTCAAAATCTAGAGATTAGCATGCCGGTTAAGGCTTGTTTTTTATCAGCTCCTGACAACAGGGGTCCAATACCTGCGCAAATGTGAACGCTGAAACAATTAGATATCTCTCATAGGGCATCGCCCAGAATGCTATTGTCTTTAGCGACATGTACTTGCAGTGCCCATTTAATCAGCGGGCAGCATAATAATTTGCATATCCTGAACTAGTCGGTTGTGATTGGTCAGCAGGTAAAGCTTTGGGAATACATGAGTCTCTTTGCAGATTTCAGCTGCTGTTAATCAAACGGTTGGATGTGTAAAGTAAATCCCAAGGTGACATAAAGTGAACAATAGCAATAATTAACAATAGCCACGCTCTTAACAAAGCGTTTAGGAAATTCGTTTGCAGCGAATTCTTATATGGACTGACAGACTCTCGTTGGTCAAAATGTTATCGGAATTATAAAAATTAGTATCATGAAAATAGAAAATAGATCATGAAGAATCTACTTCGTTAAAATCGCTTCAATCGGTAGAGAAAAATATGAGCGATGCTTCCGACAACCGGCTTGTGAGTGCGACGATCGTCGAGATAGAACTAGAGTCTATCTTGCGACAATAATAGGAGTGTGGTTTCCATATGATAGTAACGATTGCTGAATATTTCTGCAGCGATTTCAGCGATCATATCTTAAAAGCTTTTACAGTTTTTTAAGCATTGTCTAGTTACCACCTCAATTTCAATACTAATTGGGCGGCGATTGTTTGCGGAGGCGGAGCTTAACATACCTTGATATTCTCGCGGGAAGTTTAAAATAGGTCACTTGTATTCTCGTGGGGTCTCCAAAGGACAAATTTGGATAGAACACTACGATGCTTAGCAAACGTTTTCGAAATTCGCGTTTTGCGACTACTTCCAAAGTTTGGAATCCCTTGAAAATTTCTATGACGCTTTCTAGAATGTCAAATAAAAATAACCATATGGTAAAAGAGAAATCTAGCAATTGAGTGAAGATAAATTACGCCTGAAAGTGCGCTGAGATCGACTTCTCATACAAACAGGATGCTAACATAGTCAATTTTCAAGGCAAATTTGCGACCTCTTCTGAAAGCGCAAGAACAAAATGAGAATGATACACTATTCAATTGAACTTTCTTCTTTAAAAGCCATATGGTAAAAGTAGCATTTGAAAAGTAGTTTATCCCTAAACGAAGAGAACGTAAGCCTTCCTCGACATTTTCAGCCCTTTTCCTTTATTGTTTGACAATCATTTTCTAATTAGCTTTTAAATTTAGCGCCAGCGTCTCAATGAAAGTCCCGGATATGTCGCTGAATTCTGGGCGATGGGGGCGGCGGCATAGTGCTTGCAAGTTACACAACCTCCAAAAATAGAATGTCATAGAAATCAATTACCCAAGTGCAGAGTTTGTCATTCCTTTCCCTGTCTCTAAATGAGAAAAAAGTGAAGCTTGTAATCCTCCATAGCACAGTCCGTCACTTTTGTGTCATTTGGCAGTCGAGTATTTAGTATAAGGTGGCAAGGCTTACGAGTAATAAGATATAAAATAGATTCTCGCCTTGAAATAATATATTTTGAATGTCACACATGCAAATATGTGCGCAAATCTTGGGTATGCAGTTCTAGTTTCAGCCGATTTTCGCACCTGTTAGCTGATCTCAGCTATCAGTAAAAAAAAAAAAAGACGTTTAATATCTCAGCTGACAGAAGTTTGACCAATTCTCAGCTTTCCATTAAGCCCCAACCAGAGCCCTCACACAGAATCAGAATATGCGCTAGACTTGTGCGCCAGTCAAACGGAACGAATTTTGGATTGTCACAATGATTCGGAAATTGTTTAAGCCCTTTTCTGAGTTAAACACAGTCCAACTGACGCAATGACTTGGCAAAAAAATGTCATATCCTTCTAAGTAACATAACATGAGCAATAATTATACGTAAATTCAATTGTCCCAACCAATAATTGGGACCAATGCATACAAAGCCGAAAAAGATTTGATGCGGAATTCTGTTTCCTTTCATTTTTGAACAGATTTTTCAGTTCCAGGTAACTGTCACCCCAATAACATTATTCGCACTGTAAATAAAGTAAATCCAGAAATAGAAAATTAAGGTTAAAATATACTTACACTGAACTACAATTGATGTGTCAATAGAAGTGACTTCCACTGAGTTATTGGCTTGACATGTATATTTTCCTGCATCTGTTCTGTTTATATTTTCGAACTTTAAAAACGTAGCTTTCTTCCCTGAACTTTCCATTACTCCATTTCTAATCCATACCACATCCGGCAGTGGTCTCCCAGAAGCTCCACAGGCCATGGTGACAGGGGATCCTTCAATGTAATATTTTCCTCTTAAAGAGATGTTTATAAGTTGTGCCTCTGAAAGGTAAGAGATTATATCATTCCTCACATAGCGTAGCAAATCTTACTTGGACGGAGTCTTAAAATTTATCAAATTTCAATAAAATAAACAAAAGCATCCAGCAATTGGCCCCCAACAACCAACTAGCATAAGGAGGCTCAAACTTCATTCAGTAAAAGTTAACCTGTTGGCACTAGCTACTGGAGAACTTGCTCACAGGCTAAATTATAAAGCAGAGCCCCAACCTGGGGAATTAAGGGCTAATTCAGGAAGTTATACTCTTTGGGCTAAGGACCCAGTCTTCTAAGCTACTTCCATTCCTTAGGATAAAATGTTTGCTGCCGCACAAACAAATAGGAACAGAGCCAATCAAGCCACACCCCACTTGGAACTTGGTCTGACAAAGGATCTACAGGAGACATCCTCAACCCAGAGAACAGAAATTTTGATGAAAGAGAAACTATGGATTCTTCGCAATAAAAAGAATATACTAGTGGCAAGCTGAATGCTGCCTGCCCATTACTTAAAGTTAAAAGAAGGTCCAGTCTTAGTTAAAAAAAGATGTTTGGCCCTGGATTTTTTCTACAAGTGAAATATGAGACATGGATTGGCTTTGGGCTACAAAAACCAAACACAAATGATGATTCTTTTGCCCCTTTTAAGCCATAATAACCTAGTATCTTTCTATTGTAATAAAATTCGAGAAGAGAAGTAAAGTGACAGTGTTGTATTACAGTTAAAATAAACCAACAGAACATAGCAAATGCATAATTAAAATAAAGGAAAGAAAGAGGATTATGTAATGGTGGGTGAGCTCAAACAATTTTTATTCATGAGTCATAAATGATTAAAAACAAGCAAGTGAACATAGTAAACAGTGAGTTTGGATTCTTCACAGGCAAGTACAATCGTTCAAGCAAACAATGAGTACATGAGTATTGAGACCTCACAAATGTTTTCGACTTTGATCATGGTCAAATGACAAGTCTCAATTTTTGTCCCTTGGTATCAGAAATTACTTGAGGAAGTCACCATTCTATTGGCAAAATTTACATCTGGAAACCTCTAAGATCATATAATCCTCAGAAAGCAGCAAATGGCACAGTTCCGACTTTCATTGCGTTTGGCAAGTCCTTTTAAAAGGCAGGATTGTTTCTAGATTTGACTGGCCATTTTTAATTGACAGCTTTGCTAAGAGAAAATCTTTGTACTCAAATTAATAATGGTTATCTATGCATAACAGAGCAACCCAGTAATTGGTGCCAGAAGAATAAAGCAATAACTCTCTGATAACTCATTGATTTCTTATTGATGAGAAACAGTAAAGTAAATGGTAGAATTACATTACAGCAAAGTAGTTTGTGCATATTTGTGTTATTGTTTATTTTTCCAGATCTCAGAAATATGAGAGACACAAGTTGAATACATTTGATTTATGTTTGATTATTGATGTTTATGTCTGTAATACGTACCTGCCACAATAAGCTGCACTGTACTTTCTACCAAGTAGGAAAAGCTTCCCCAAATCTCACATTTAAATTCAGTATTGTCTCCAGGGTTCATGTTCTTGATAACCAGGGTAGCTCTTCCTTCAATTCTAACTCTTCCTTTGTAAGATGGAGGAATATTAGGATTTTCTTGGACACCATGACTACCATTCACCATCATTTTGACAAATGTATCATCTACCAGAACACTATAGATAATGTTCTGAATGCTATTATGTGGATCAGTGTAGTCCCACACCAGGTTAGCTTCGCTACCATTGTAAAAATAGCTTGGATCAGAAGGTTCCTGGGTAAAACGCACATCCACACCCTCTAAAATAGACAACCATAAACTGAACATAACATTCTCAGCTTTTGAGTTACAAGTGTGAAGATAATATTTAAGACGAAAGGCTTAAATAGAGTCCACCACCACAGAGGCACTAATTTAGTGTGAGCAATAACAACAATAAGTGTAAATATGCACTACATTGGCATATTCAAGCTAATATCAATCAGCTCAAAACATACTTTCATTTGCTAAGAAATAAGGTTCAATAACAGTAATGTGAAACTATTTGTGCCTTTTGGAAAATCATTTTTGACAAGTTCCACTTCCTTTAATTTCCAAAATGTGTAAAGTGGTGAATTTCCAAAGTTTAAATGAGGTACACTTGAAGAAATTTTTTGAAGAAGAATTTGTTGAGGTGGAAAAATGGAAAGTGGAAATTTCCACAAATATTACATGTAAAACCATTGAATGAGGGATTTGTTATTGCACACATTTCATTTTCTAGTCTTTTGGCTTCTAGTTTCGGAAAATTTGTATGGTCTTATCTGAGCATCCTTCCCACCACATAAGATGTGCAGGAAAGAAGAAAACAACAGAAAAGAAACCATTTAAGTGTTCTTGATGACCAGAACAAAATTCTTGCGGGCTTTAAAGTTTAGTGCTGAAAAATTCATGTCTAAAATTAGAAAAGAAATCAAAGTTCACACGCATCACTTCTGTCTGTATTCTTGCCCTGTTCTACAGTGTGCTACCAAGGCATATTTAGTGTGTTCCATTGCCTAATAGGGTAAAATAACAATCAATAGTGAACAAAAATTAACAAATATTTGCTGAAGGTGAAGTAAATATTATTCAATTATCTTCCCATTGCCTTCAGCAAATAATTGTGTTAATATGATTGCTCAGGTGCTTCTGAGGTCTGATATAAATTCTGTAAAATGGTAAAAAAAATTTGTGCACATTTTGTTACAGTTGTGTTGATTACTTGTATCAAGATGAGCAAGGAATTTTAAGAAGTTAATTTTTTTTAATACCAAAAACTTTATCCCTTTCTTTCAAAAAGTGTTCTGCTAATCTTTTAGCATCTTTTGTGCTCTTTGCAATTTAATTTTCTCCTATTGCATTTGTCACTCCCTCGCAAACACTTGACAGAAGATGAGGCAGCGATTTTGAAATTTAGCACCCTTGCTATGAATCACCCTGCACACTGTGATTATGGCAAGAAATGATGCAATCCCTGACCAATCAGAGCATGTGCATCCCTATAATCACCTGAGTGAGCAATTATACTAACAGTATAGTTATCTGAGTGAAGTCATCACATAACACAGGGTATTAGTTACAACAATGACAGCACAAACAACAATGCAATGATCAATATCATGTCACACGTGTATGATTTTCTGAAAACTTTGGCATATTAAGCTGGCATAAAAATTCCAATGTTATAGCAATAGAAATAAGAAAGACACCAAACACAATTTTCTACTTTCTATAGCCTTGGTCATAGAAAGGATGTCAACAATGGTCAAAACTTGTATTGTGCCTCCTTTAGCTTTAAATATCTTTGACCTCACATCTACCATCAGGAAGGTTTTACATAACAAGCTGAATTCTGCCTGCATTTTGATTGCTTCTTTCATGTAATTATGATCTATGAATGGACAAATGCATTTTTTGTTTCTTCATTAAATAAAACAAATAGATTCCATGCTGCCATTGCTCTGTACAGTTATAATTCACAGGGGATGTCAAAATGTGCTAAGAACATCAGTGGCACACTCAACTGCCCCCAGCTTGTTCTAGGCATTCAGTGAGTAAAACATAGCACAATAGTGAACAGTTCTGTAGTCTCCCTCGCTTTTTCACTCCTCCACTACTGTTGTGCCATTTGCTATATTCTGCTCCATGTTAATAACTGACAACTGAAACAAGCAAAGCTGAATCTTATGTGCCACTTTTTTGTTCTTACAAAATTCTGATGTCATATGTCATCTTTTACTGAACAGAGCACAGCAACTTGGAAGCTATTTAAAACAATGGAACATTATGGTGGATTTGTTTAAGTACTTTTGTATAAATTGATTTCCAAGCTTACTGGTGGTTAGCCACCAGCTATTCCCCTCGGCTCAGAGCTTCCACAACAACAAAATGGCTTCCCGCTCTTCAGTGTGGTTAAAGCTACGAAAATATAAATTCAATAAAAGAAGCAGCCATCACAAAAAACAACAAAAAAAGCTACTAAATGTGCTTTGATAGCATTGAATGGTTAATTAAATAACCTTTCAAACTTAAATTTCTTACAGAAAAAATCAGATTTTCCTGACACTGTACTGTAAAGCTTTATACAAGTGAAAGATAAAAATTCAACTTTTTTTGTACCTTAGTTTGTATCACTAAGCATTCTGATGTGTTCTTATTGTGCCACTTTTTTATTCTTACCATATTCTAACATAACATGTGATCTATTACTGAACAGGTGCACAGCAACATGGAATCTATTTTTTAAGAAGACAATGGAAAATTATGGTGGATTTTTAAGTGCTTTTGTATAAATTAAGGTAATTAAAAAAGTTACCAAGTTTAATATTATACTTTAATTGCATGATATGACTGAGTTCCAAAAATGGTTAAATATGGTTGGGACATGTAAGAAATATAGATGCTTCATAGTTAGTGAGTGCGTGCAATTTCTATTCTTGAGTTGTGAAGAATAAAACAACGAGTGAGGAACAAGCAAGTTTTTGGCTAGACTATAAGTAGATAAAAATCATACAAGCAAACTAAACATGATGAAATTTGAGGAAGAGTGGGCTGTGTGTGATTCATATGCAGAAAATAGAGGGACATTTACATTCCTGCAAGAACAAAGGAATGACAAAAAACAAGGAATAAATTAGTTGATTGAAAAGCCTTTGTTATTGGTCATTCATGTAAGCACAAATCAAATTGCAATCCTGGATTGCAATGCTTTCTTATCAGAGTCAGAATCTAGAAATTTAAGTCTTTTATACCATTTTGGAGGAGATTCCACTTAAGTTCCTCAGATTAAAAATGTCAGGGATTGATCAAAGCATAGGTTTAGACAAAGATTATGATAAGTTTGCATGAGGCCAAATCAGAATGAGTTTCCCCAATTTTCATGAAGTGCAGCTGACCTCTTGTTTTCAACCTTGAATTCATGATTCTACATTTGTCAGCAACCAGCAAACCTTGCTGATATTCACTTTCATTAACTTTAGCAAGCTCCCACAAAACAAAGGCAAAAAACCCACACTATTTTTTCCAGTGGTCAAAAATTTCATCTTCAACTTGTGATTGGTCAGATGGTCATTTCTAAATTGTGAGAAAAACCATCCTATCTATAAGAATTTGTGCAGTTTATTACAAATCCTTTTTTGTTTTGTTAATTTAGCTTGGAGTAAATCTTGGTATGTATATGACAAACAAAGATATCTTCCCACACATTTCAAAAAGTTTGGTCCTGGTTAAAACTTCTACTGTTTTTAAATATACAACAAAAATAAATCGTTCACAACTATCGCTGTGGGATACCACAATCATATGTGCATGCAGCTAAAAACCGGTCAAGTAAACAAATCATACATGAAGGTATGAGTAAATACTGCTCAATTATCCATCCAAGTGTATTATGTAGTCTCTTTACATGATTGCTGCCTGGAGGAAGAGTCACACTCAATTTAGCTAGCAGCAATTATCCTTGCTGAGGTCATTATGTGCACCAATAATGAGTGAAAAAATTGGTGACAGCTCTTCTCAATAATCAGTGATGGAAGGGAAGAAAGAGAGTTTATGTACAGATGGCAACTCTCTTCTAGGTAATTGCATAGCCATTATGTTTGTAATGGAAAGCCAACTAACAAAGCAGTAACTTTTCTCATGGCTAAAAAGACGACTCACACTAATCAAAAAAATATTGTACTTCTAAGTTTCAATGTTTATGTTAAATTCTGAACGTATGGTATTGTTACACTTGAAGCATAAAATCCCTTGCTCTTGATTTCTATCGCATCATAGTTATTCAGACTTCATTTATCACACGATTGAAATCCCAACTACATATCTAAATTTTGAAATACAAAAGCTGTTGAAAGCCACCTTGGAGTTCGGAAATCATTTGACGAAAATCACGTTCGGTCGGCGTTTTCGATGTCTAAGCTTAAAATGGCACATGGTAAAAAAATATTGTCAAATCCTTGTACGGAAGAATAACTTCACACTCACCTGACCCGTGAAACTTTACTAGCAGAAGAAAGAGTAAGCAAATTTCGTAATCACGCAAAGACACCATCCTATCAGACCTTTGCTGATGCTTCAATGAGGGAAGGTTATGCCTAAATCTTACGGAAATCTCTTGAAGGGATGGACTAGAAGGCCCTCTTCGTTTTGAGACTGGGACCGAGTGTCACGATCATAGTCGGCAAATTACCTGAACAACATGACGGATGGTGCGATTTATGGTAAAAAACTATATTTATGCTAGACACTTAGGAAATTTGAATGAATTGTGGAAACTTTTCTTCGGGAGAAACGTTCTATTCAGATTAAACTATACGTGAAATTTGCGAATGTGTCGAATGAGAACAAAGGCACCGATCGATCACGCGCGCGTAGATGAAAGTCACGCAAATAAAAAATAACTTGTAACCGACAGATTTCAACTCCTCTTTCTTGTTTATCAACCGTGGATTCTTTTCCTAGGGTTACTAAATATAATCAAGGTCGGGTTCCAATGATCTATCCCCTGTGGGGATGCACAAGAG